CTTGTGCAAGAGACACTCATTCTAAAATTGAACAGGCATCTATGTGGTTTATTTTTTATACTGTGAAAAATTAATACTATCACTATTATTGGAAAATATTTCATTTCTGTTAAGTTATATTATTACATTGTTTTCCCAGATTTATTATTTATACATTTAGTCATTCATGTCAATTTTTTTATTATTTTATTTTGTTGATATGTTATTTGTTTGTTTGAAATTAAATGTATTTATTTTAATTAAATTATTTAAATATTTTATTCGTTTTAATCCTATTTGTATTATTTATTTATACATTTACTTATTCATTTGATTCAAATTTTCCTTTATTTGTTTGTTGTAAATAATTCTTTATTTATGTATTTTTATCAATCAATTTATTTATGTATTTGAATCATTTTTGTGTGTGTTTCAGGGTCCGTTAATGGTGACAGAGGCCCTGAAGCCGTACTCTAAAGGCGGACCTCGTGTCTGGTTTGTGTCTAACATCGATGGGACGCACGTCGCTAAGACTCTGGCTGAACTCAACGCTGAGACCACACTCTTCATCATCGCATCGAAGGTCTGAGCAGGACGCAGCTTTCAGACACTGAACAGATTATACAGAATTAGCAGAGACAAAAATATCACATTTAGATTTTACTATGACTCTTTATAAGTTCACTTGATAATATGTATCACAGTGAGATTTCTGTATAAAAAAACAGTTGCACTGATAACATTGTGAAATCGTTTGTTCAGACATTCACGACCCAGGAAACCATCACAAACGCTGAATCAGCGAAGGAGTGGTTCCTGCAGGCCGCCAAAGACGTGAGTCTCACCTCCTGCAGCGACGTGTACGGGACGCCTGTGTCACGCACTTATTCTTCTGTCATTTTTATCATTCTCACAGAAATCTGCAGTGGCCAAGCATTTCGTGGCACTCTCAACCAACGGAGTAAGTGCATTATAGTTTAAATGTCAAGGCTCATATCATCAGGAATTAAAATTTGTTCATAAACCATATTTTGTAACTTTCAGAACTCAAAACAGTCCAAAAAGAGCATTTATTGAAACTAGACTGCAAAAACCTTTTTTCACAATTTATACGGCACTTTTCAAATACAGCTGTAATTCAAAGTGCTTTACAGAAAATCATTTAGGAATATAAAATCATTAATTAAAAAAAA